ACCCATTCCCGGCCCCCCACACACAGAGGCAGGGACCCCTCCCTGCCCAGCCCCTGTGTAACTTTTGTGTCGGGAACTGAGAGTGAATCATTCGCTTTAATAAAATGTTTCCATTTGCCCCTGTCCGGTTGCTCTCTGGTGTGTTCCCCCATCTAGGAAATGAATTGTTGCCACGGAGGGGTGGGGGCTTTGCTGTCTCTAGGGGGTAGTTTTTGTGGGGGGAGGGGTGTTTGCCGTTCAGACTATTCTACTGAACAGAAGCAGGACTCAGATTCTCTGTGAACTCACGACTGGACTCAGGTACCCGGGACCCTGCGCTGCTGCGTCTGTGTCAGTGCAGACACACTTGGGTGCAGCAGGGCGGGGGCTCTTTAAGGACATAAGAACATAAGTGGCCATATGGAGTCAGACACGAGGCCCATCCAGCCCAGTGTCCCACAGTGGACAAAGCGAGATCCCCAGAGGAAGTGAACATCACATGATCCCTCCCCGTCGCCCATTTCCAGCCCCTGGCAAACAGAATCTAAGATCATCATCTCTGCTCATCCTGGCAAATAAGTATTAAAGGACCAAACCTCCATGAATTTATCCAGCTCTTTCTTGAACCCTGTTAGGATGCATCTCCACAGCAGGGCTTACCTCAAAATAAGCCACACAAAGTGAGCGATGTCAAGTTTCTTATTTTGAAATTGGGAGCATCTACACAGCACTTAGTTCAAAATGAAGCAGTCTTCCTCCAACTTCCCTTATTTCTCATACAATGAGGCTACGTCTACACTGGTGGCTTTTTGTGCAAGAACACACAAAAACTTGCTGGGTGTTTACACTGCACGTGCATTCTTGCGCAAGTAAATTTACAGTACACCGTCGGAAAACAGGGCTTCTTCTGGAAGAGTTATTCCTCCCCCCACGAGGAATAAGCCTTCTGGTGCAAGAGGCCAGTGTAGACAGGCAACATGAATTTCTTGTGCAAGAAACCCCTATGGCTAACATGGCCATCAGAGCTTTCTTGCGCAAGAGAGCATCTACACTGGCACAGATGCTCTTGCGCAAAAGCACATGCCAGTGTAGACGCGCTCATTTCAGGAGGAGTAATGGAGTACTGAACATTTGAGGTCTCTCCCCCGGCTTTGCCTGGAGCGGGCACCAGCCCGGCTAACATGGCCATCAGAGCTTTCTTGCGCAAGAGAGCATCTACACTGGCACAGATGCTCTTGCGCAAAAGCACATGCCAGTGTAGACGCGCTCATTTCAGGAGGAGTAATGGAGTACTGAACATTTGAGGTCTCTCCCCCGGCTTTGCCTGGAGCGGGCACCAGCCCCCCCCTCTAGCCTGCCCTGCGCGTCCTCCCACCCTGCCCCCAGAGAGTCCCTCTTGGCCCCGGACCTTTCCTGCCGTGCGCAGCTCCCCCTCACCATCTGCTGCTGCCATGCACGGCATTGCAGGTGGGTGGGGAGGACACTCAGGTGTGACGTGACATCACAGCCTGGGATTTTAAAACTCTTCAGGGCCACGTTGTGGGACCTGGCCTGGCTGGCTCTGGGAACTGAGCGCAGACTCCAGCCCCATAAAGTGCATATTCAGAGGGAGAGGGGGGAGAGGAAGGTTTTGTGTGGCAGGAGAGGGGGAAGGGGCTTATTCTGAGGGGGAGAGGGGAGAGGAAGGGTCTTGTGCAGAGGGGGAAGGGGGAAGAGTAAAGGTTTATGTGGAGGGGGAGGAGGAAAAAAGGGGAAGGTATCAAGAGACAGGGTGGAGGAGAGAGAAATGGAAGGGGGCCGAGTGCAGACAATGAGGGAAAGGGCAGGAAGGGAGGTGTCAGTGGGAGGGGGACAGGGTGATTCTAGGAGAGGAGAGGAGAAGGGCATTGGGGGCTAAAGGGGGAGGGGGAGGTGCTGGGAGAAGGCTTGAAAGAAGGGGTCGGCCTGAGAAAGGTGGGGATGGAGCAAGTCATGTGTGAGGGCACAGAGGGGCAGGAGGGGAATGGGGCAGAGACTGGTGAGGGGGTGGGAATCAGGGAAAAAGAGGGCAAAGGGGGCAGGGGGAGTAAGGGAAGGGGGAGGCACCAGGAGGGTGCAGAGCTAAGGGAAGGTGCAGGTGCCAGAGGATTCTGGGGTGAGGAGGAGGGGAGAGCTGGCCACCGGAAGCAGAACTGGACGGGGGAATCAGGGCAGGCTGGGGAGATTGGGGGGCTGGTGGAAGCAGGGCTGCCGGGGGGCGCGAGGTCAGGAGCAGGGAGCTGGCTGGGGGGGGTGGGGGGG